AGGAGTGATTAAAAATATGAGGACTTTTTTGTAAAAACAATTTACAAAAAGAAGAAAGTTGGAGGAAAATTTCTGAAAGAAGAAAAGGAAACTTATAAGTGGAATAAAAGTTCTCCTCAAGAGCAAATTCGCCAAAATGCCTCGAAAAAATTTGAGGAAAAAAATATGTCCAAGTGCCAAAACTTGTGACGATATAAATGATGAGCTTTCTGCTTTTCAGAAAAACATAAATACAAATATGATTGATACTATCGTACAATATACAAATATTTATCTCAAATGTAACAGGACTGCAGATGATCTCCAAAACATCTCAAAGAGAAGCATGTATGATACTAATAGAGCAGAAATGTTAGCCTTTTTAGGAATTTTATTCTGTATTAGGGTGCAAAAAAAAATGTCAAAAATTCAAAATTCGAATTTGGAGGAAGCATGGGCAAAAGACGGTACTGGAATTGAAATTTTCGAAGGAGTGGACGTGGGTCTCAAGCGATTCAGAAACCTGTGTGCTACTCTTAGATTCGATGATAAAGGCACAAGATATGTCCGAAGAAAAACTGATAAGCTTGCTGCCACTAAGAGAATTTTTTTAATCTTTCAATCAGAACTGTCAAAACTTTTATACACCAGGTGATGAACTCGCAATCGACGAAAAGTTGGAACACCTTTCGCGGGAGGTGCTCTTTTATTCAATTCATCCCCAACAAGCCCGCAAAGTACAGTCTGAAAATTTTTGCAGTTGTTTGACTCATGAACGTTTTATACATTGAAGCTTGAAACTTTATTGTGGCAATCAACCCCAGGACCTTACACGAGGCTTCTAATTCAAGTATTGACATTGTCAAAAGGCTAATTAGTGTGTACGAAGGTTCCAACCATAACCTGATGACCGATAATTGGTACACAAGCTACCCGCTAGCTCAATATCTTCTTACCAAAGGTATAACACTTATGGGCACGCTGAAAAAAATAAAAAGGAAATTCCAAATGAATTCCAGCCATCAAAAACCAGAGAAGTCGGCAGTTCAGTGTTTGGTTTTCAAAAGGATATGACAATTGTTTCATATGCAACGAAAAAAATAAGTGTGTAATACTGCTCAGTACTTTACACGATGATGACAAAATTGACCAGGAAACGAATAAACCTCAAATGATCCTCGATTATAACAAATGTAAAGGCGGAGCTGATACCATAGACCAACTTTGTAGTAATTTCACTGTCGACCGAAAAACCAAGAGGTGGACAATGGCAATATTTTTTGCACTGCTAAACGTAGCAGCTATAAATTCGCAAGTGCTCTTGAACTTCTCCAAACCTGACGTAACCATCAAGTTTAGAAGATATTTTTTGAAAAATCTAGCTACATCTTTAATGAAACCACATCTTCAGAATCGTCTGAAAATGCCATTTCTCCTGTCGCATTCCAAAGCTATTATTAGAAGGCTGGTAACAACATAAGCAGACAAGACAGCCGAAAGGGACGAGGAACCACCTGCAAAAAAGATCAAAGGACGCTGCGCTGAGTGCGGTAGAATGAAGAATAACTACACTACCATAAAATGTTCTGAGTGTTCTAAGTTTACCTGCAAAAATCATCTGGGCAAGACAGTACAACTTTGCAAACCCTGCTGCAGTGAACAGGGACAATCGGAAGAGGATTTAAATAGCAAGAGGTTTTCAAATTTTTCATTTGTGAAATTTATTACTTACTGAACTTTTCTTTACGGAATATTTATAGTTTGTAATTTTTACTTATGTTCTTATAATTTTCATTCAGAAAATAATGCAGAATACTATTTAACTTTAAATTACATTACAGTGCATCCACTTTTTGAATTAATTAAAAATTCATAGTTTTTATCTTTACTGCTTTTTTTCTGTTATTCTTTTTCTTATATCATTTTTACTATGACAAATCACCTTATTAATGCCATGTATAAGATTAAATAGTTTCAAACACAAAGCACAGGCTCGAAAAATGACCAGGCGTACTTCATACGCCGCCCCTCCAAGATTGTACCATATGCCAGCCCCTCCAACTGAGGGTTAATGAACTATGAAACGTTTTGATAGTTAAAAGTAAGATATACTGGCACTGAAGCTTCAGCCTTTAGCCAATCTGACTTTATTAATGGTGGTTTTTCTATTGATTATTATGTTTTGGTTCCTGGAAGTTTGACCATAATAAGCAGCTGAGTTTATTAATCAATAAATTTATTATGTGGTGGGTACTGTATGTAATTTTTGAAGTTCTAAAAAGGAACAGAGTGATGATCTTCTAGCAGTGGTCAAAGGCATGCATATGACAAAATAAGTTGAGAACCACTGCCTTAAAGACATTTCCTTAAAATTAGAAAGGGTGAAAGTATCCCTACCATACTGATGCCATGAATTACGTATTGAATTTGAGATGATCCAAGGAATGTATTTAAACACCTCAGCTAGCTGGTTGCAAAGCCAGGAAAGATATGGCTAGCTACCCAATATGATTACATTTTTATACCTTACCTCTGAAGAATACAAATCAGCAAAGGATAATTGGTCATAATTCTCCCAAGTACTAGACCTTTACTTACTTGTCCCACAGATAGTGCAGTTCTTGGAAATAGGATTATGCTGTGGTAAGTACCTTTGCCATAAACTAGGGAAAATGCCATTTGGAAGATTTAGATCTTTTTGTTGGGTTAAAAGAAAACAAGAAGAAAATCTTTGCAGTCTCACAAGAAATATTGGGGAAAGTGTAGAATCACCCACTGCTTCGCACGTTTCTCAAAATCGCCAACTCGAAAGTAACAAGTCAAAGAATTGTGAAAACATGATATACATGTACACATCGACCCATGGTCACTTAAAAAAACATCAGAGAATTGTACAAACTTGACATTGTGCACACCCTTAACTTTTTCCATGTACACATCGATACGCACCATATAAGTGGGCAATTCTGCACTTTATCCCAAATTTCAATTGTTATAACATTTTAACTGCACAATATAGCAAAATACTTGATATTTAAAGCCTCAGCCTTTAGCCAATCTGAGAGTCTTCAGTTAACTAATAACATGGCTTGATACATTTGGTAAAACTTTTTTGGCAATAGTTATAAACATGATAATTAAAAGAATGCGACAGCTTTGTTTTTCTAAACATTTAACACTGTAGTACTTTTTTGTTACCATTTGTTATACTTTATTTTTAATAACGAATATTTACTGAAAAATCATAGGCTCTCAATTTGCATGTGAATTACAAAAAAATAGGGGTAAAAGAATATTTACGAGTACCCCTTTGTGAAAACTGTTGATTTTTGCAGTTCTTGGATACCCAGTTTGTGCAATTCTTTGACTTCTTATTTTGGCTTTGTGTAGCAGTGATTTTTGGAAAACCGCCGCAAAACAAAGACAAAATAACAAGTCAAAGAATTGCACAAAATTGGCATCAATGTACACATTGACCTATTTTCACTTAAAATCACAAAATTGCACAAACTAGGCACTGTGCACTCCCTCGACTTCATCCATGTACATGTCGACCTATTTTCACTTAAAAAAAATCAGAGAATTGCACAAACTTGGCACTGCGCATTCCCTTGATTTTGTCCATGTACACATCCATATATATTTTCACTTAAAAAGTCAAAGGAGCATCCAATTGTGGGTAAACATATTTATGGAACATTCAACTACTCAGGTTACATAAATGAAACGACAACTTGGCGATAAACAAAACAACTTGATGATAAATGAAACAACAACTTTGCGATAATACAAGAGGTCATAAATCATTCACGATAATACAAGAGGCTTTCAGTCTACTCTAACCGTAACTTTTAGATTTTAATGACTTTTAATAAGACTATGTTGAATAATCATTTAACTAAGTGTATTTAGTAGCTTAGTCTGATTATCTAAAGAAGGCTGGACTCCTTTAGATTCAAAACTTATAATATTATGAAAAAAATGCTAATGTTAAGATAATTTTACTTTAGATATATTGTAGAGCAATTTATAAGCAACTCTTCGAGTTTTGCATATTCGTAAAAGTAGTAAATCATATATTAATTTATTACCAAAGTTTTTTTTTTTAAAATTACCAATTTACATTTCAGAAAATACTTTAGAAAAATAACAGCAGTTATGAATCTCAAGTGTGTTCCAACTACAGTTCTGGAGCCCACTAACCAAAAGGGTAGATTGCGTCTGAAGGACAATAGACACACCCCAAAATATATAATTTATGAACTGCTGTAAGAATTTTAGACATCAAATCCTGCGCTATTTTCAAAGAGAAAGTTCATCAATTGAGTAGATGAATTATATTCTGTATTTCCCTTTTAAGACATTAAATTAAAATCTCTTTCATAAAACACTGATTTCAGTAACAGAAAAAATAATAGCAAAAATTTTTGACTTAGTATTTGAAGAAGAATTTTACCTTTAAAACGTCCAAACAAAAAGCATCTCGAGTTAATTTTACTTCATCTAGAAATGATTCATGATTGAGACGAAATTTAGAAAACGACTGAAACCAATCATTTCCTAATACTGAACGATTTGCAGATTTATCAGCCATAATGAAATCAAAGAATGACTTCAAAAATAATATAAATATCAGAGTTGACGCTTTGTTATTACAACTTCAAGAATAAATACAAAGCTTCGCAAGAAAACTTTAGAGGATCACAGACGTCGTGTTTTGCACTGACTAATTCTTTTTGCCCGCCTAGAACCCATGACCAGAGCTGACACTTGTAGTTACAATTTACGGGTTGTTATGCTTCTGCTTGGGTCTCGCTTTTTCTAATTTTAAACAATAGCTATTATATTTTAAACCAGCAATAAAGCAATATTATTTCAACATTTTAAGGCTCACTTTTAAAATTAATATTAGTTATAGTTTATGTATAGGAAAGAATTAATTGTGTATTAGAAATAATCTGAATACAGCAAAGCATTCTGCAGCTCAACTTACCTGTCCATGCCTTGCAATAAATGTCCAATCAGCTTCATTCTCCGTCGGATCTGCAGGTGTGAGGAAACCTTAATTTGATGTGAATTATGTACTAGAAATGTTACTAATCTTTGTTGTAGATTCATTATAAAGTGTAAATATCAGTGTGTTTTGGAAAATCCGTATCAACAAAGTGACATGGCATCGTTAGGTAATGGACAGATTCTGGAAGTAAGTTGTTTTTCATACTTGTACAAATGTGAAAATGGCGAGTATTTAATGAATGTATGTTTGTATAATAAAAGTAAATAAATGCAGGTTGGTATATTTATCGCGATTCTGAAGTCACTTTTAACTTTAATAACTGCTTAGAGCTAATTTTTTTTTTTTTTTTTTTACAATCATTATTATGAGATATCAATTTAACGTTTGTAAGTGTGCAGTTCTTATACTTAAGTAGTAAATAGAGAAAAAGTTTATGAAAATATTCTGAAAAGAAACGATTATAATTCGGAATAAAAGGGCAAAAGAGTAGAGAAATTTTCTGATGTGCATAAAGTGCATTATTTAACAATAAAGTATTGGAACTTAATGAATGTAAGATGTAATTTAACAAATATATACAGAATTAAGTGAAGTAAGTACATGCTATGCTGTTTCATCCTTTGATCCTAAATTGATGTACCACGTATCTGTGGGATGACACAAATTTTTGGATTTGACTGAGTGAAATATCACACTTTATAAAAATGTATCTTTGGTTGTGTCAAAAAATTTTTCGAAAAAAGTATTCAGATTTTTGAAGAAAAATATAGAAGCCAATAGCCAACATGGGTATAAATTATGGTGTTTTTAAATGAAGGATGTAAAGCAGAAAAGGGGGAATCACTACGAGAAATGGTGATTAAAAGGGGACATTTGAAGTATTTTATTAAATACATTATTAATATAGTATTGTTGGATTTACTGTTATATTTATTTTAGAATTCTTTATTTTTTAACAACAACCGTTATCCCATAATTCTGGTAATGCATGAACTTTAAAAAACTGGCGTTACTTCTGTCTATAGAATAATTTGTATTTCAAATTCATAGTTGAGACATTGCTATTCCCATTTCATACAATATAGTACATAGCATACTTGGTTGATCATTAGATTATGGTAACTTGGCGAAAATTTGGCGACCAACTCTCCTACAGCAACCCTCTATTTTTTTTTCCCGCTGCCATTTCACCATATCCATGTACACTCCTTTTTTCTCATAAATTAGAAAAATTTCACGAAAATGCATGACAATTTTCTGAATCTTTAAACCCGGTAAAAAGAACATATATGAAATTACCTGATCGCAAAAAAAGTTTATACCCTTTCCAAATATGAACATTTCCACATATAAAATAAATAAAATATCCAAAAACTTTTACCTCTAAATCATCTATTATATTATACATGTCACCAACGAATTCATACCGCAAACATTACAAATACTTAGTGTCAAATATTTAAATTATTTCCATGCACGTTTACTTCAACTAAAACGTATACCAAATTCCTACAAACATAAAATTCACAAAATAACTATCATTTAATTAAAATATAATTAAATTCAAAAACACTACTTAAAATATAAATAAGCACATACATTAAATTAATAAAAATTAGCTTACAATCCTAATTACTTTAAACTAAATCATTGTTCATAACAATTTTCCCAATAATACCAAATTAACTTACTTCCACCTTACATTTAGAACAATGCATAAAAATAATATCCTCAAATAATTAAAAATACTAACTTACCTAATCTTCTTCAGAATCTTGATTACGTGTCCGATAAACTTTTCTTATTTCCTCCGCTAAATAAAAAGCAAGCGTATGTGCGCCTATTTCAGGATCTTTAAAATCATACTTATAGTTCACAGCAAGGTACCACGTAAAATAAATAACTTAATAAAACATCTTTACTTCTATCTTGCACAACCTTAAAGAAACACTTATTACTATCCCTTTTAATCCCACTAAATACCCATTTCGAATTCACTTTAGTTAGGGCCATGGGATCCAAAAATTAACAAACACTGTTTCACACAACACAGAATAAAGCCAAATACAAAATTTCCAGATTTTTTCCCGATTTCCCCCCTTTTCCGATTAAAGAACCGTAATTTGTCCATTAATATCACATGACATATCCCATGATCTCTCATTTCCTTCACACAAAATAATGTGTAATCGGAACTGAGTACTGCTCACATTATTACCAAAGTCCCAGGTAGTAACCTTTATCGCCTCCAAAATGTCGTCAAACTACCAGTTACCATATTCTAAAGATCAGCGACATACATTATGGAGTTTTTTTTTTTTTCCCCGAATGTCTCCGCCCCTTTTTTCAAAAGATGCTCTAATCCTTTTATTGCAGAAGTTTGTAGTTTGATTTAAGTCTTTATTGAGAGCTGTAGAATTTGAATTGCAGACTATATTGTACTCTTTGTTTGTATCAAGATGTATGTGCCCTCAAATAATGAAATATTATGTTGGATGCATCGGCATTGTGAGTTAAAAGTAGACTACTGCCTGAATAAGACTTAAAATAATTGATGTGAAGAAAAGTGAGTGATAAAATGTTTGAAAATATAAAAAAATGTTCTTAGGTTTTTTTTTTTTACATTTTGTCTTTAATAATGAGGATTAATAAGGAAGCTAATAACTATTGTCCAGTATGAATTTTAGAGAATGCTTTCTAGTTTTATAGATATCAGCTTTTAAATGTTCTCTCTAAAAAATAAGAGCCTCAGATTTCTGCTGTTTTGGGATATTTCATATTTAAGTAGCATATAGTCTATACTAGAATTTTCTGCTAAGAACTAACTATAGTTTTATTTCTTCATGATTTATGTTTCTGAAATGCAAAAAGTATCCTATTAAGTGTCATAATGTTGCCCTTCATTATCTGTGAATAGTGACTGATTATTTCAATTGTTATGAATTAACATTTTATTTCGTTTCCAGAATGGACTGAAATTATCAGCTGGTGAGGAGCCTTTGTTGAAAAAATGCAAATCTGAAGGTAAGTGATTCTGTAGTGACATGTGATCATATCTGAAGGTTTTGGGTTTATATATATAAGAATCACATACTTAAATTCTAAAATCAAAAACATTCTGTTTGTTTTTTTAAGAAGTGGCTCAATCTGTGATCAATAAAGAAACATGAGACTTCTCTAGGTGATTTTAATCTTGGTTGGCATATTGCATAGAAAGACTTCATTCATCTTAAAACGAATGACATTATATTACTGGAATCATTTGGTATTAATTATTTTAGTTTTCTTCTCCCAATAAAGATATGCACAATGCTATTGTAAATGCAATATATTAGATTTCACATTATTGTAAGTATTTGTTGGGAGGAATATTTTTTTAATCTCATTTCAAGTGCAGTAATGCATTTTTTTCCATATGCTGTTACAGCCTTTGTAAATTCGTCTATTTTATTTGATTTCATCATGTGATTTTAAAAGTTTTTAATATCATATATCAAAGTTATTGACAAAGGTTTGAATTAAAAAGGCTTAATATTTTTATAAAATAACTTCTGTTATAAACGTAAATGAATATAAAAATTGTTTCATATTTGCACCGCTTTTAAAGTAATTATGTTCAAAAATAGAAAGTCAAGATTTACTTAAGTGTTTTTACATGTTTATGTTTTTTCCTAATGAAATTTGAAATATAGTGGGCAGATTTATATAGCTTATATACTTTGTATAGATATGGGACATTCCAAGTATTAATAACAAAAATAATAATCAGAGTCTGTTTCTTTTTTTCTGTGTATTTTCCAGAAGCTGAAAATATTTGCAAAAGTTTGTTAAAAGACAAGGCCATTATTGCTGGATGTGGATTGGTTATACCTGAAGTTCCTATTTTCTGGAATCTTTACTGTTTTAAATTTGAAATATACTTGTATTCTCGCATAATCATAATTTACTGATGATGAATAGATTTCAATATCAATCAACTCTTCCTTTATTTAAAATATATGTATCTTTTACTTGGAATGTGTCAACATGTAGAGTAGTTACTTGATTCTTATAATTTTTTTTTTTAGAATCTTTTACAGCTTCTGAGAGAGTATTCCCGAGAAGGATAAATTTTGAAATGAGGCTGCATTGTTAAAGTTGCTTTTTTTAAGGACATTTTGACAAGAATTATTTATTTTGTATCTTGTTTTCATAGTTCATTTTCATTATAAATATGCAATTTCTCATTGTTTAATGTATTAAAATCTGCCCATTTTTGTTTTGAATAAGCATCTTTCAAAGTTTCATTACAATAAAATTTGTAGCAGTGTATTCTATCTAGTTTAAATAAAAGTGAATCCATAAAACTTAATTCTCTTGTTGCATATGATAATTAAATGTAAATCTTTTACCTGGCATAACTACTGAAATTATAGAGTTGTGGAGGATTGGAAAAAAAAAAAAAAAAATTCTTGAAAACTTCATTTAGAAACAAAAGCGATAATGGGATGAAAATTTTAATGTAATGAAACATGCATATTTCTGATTATTTTTGTGATACCACAGATTTCCAGATTAAGTGAATTTTTTTAGATGAGGATGATCTGGACTGTTAAATCGCACATCTAGTACACAATAGAAGGTATTTAACAATGTTCCTGGCTAAAACAAAATGAATTTTGACTCATTCTCCATTGAAGAAGGCTTTTTTTCTTTAAAATTTTGTTTTATTTCCCCTCCTCCCCCCAAAAAAGTCAAACATTGGTGTCCAAATAAATGTAATTTTATAGATTAATCTTTTTATTTGTAGATATTTTAAAACTTCTCTTTAATTTTCAGTTATTTGTTTATAGCAATAAACTTGAACATTTGATTTTAATTATGAAAATTAGATATTTAAATATTACTTTGAAATTTTTTCCATTCATTTATACTAGTTTTCAATTAATTTCTGTAAGAAAATTTACATACTTCTTGAAATTTCATTTTTTTTAAGGAAGTATGAAAGCAGATATTTTCCCCCTCCCTTCTTTTAGCGAAACTGATATTTTATGGAGCTGTCTTCTGTTAATAAAGCATTTTAAATAGAATTCTCATTTGATTACCATAAATTTATGCAAAATTTGGATGTACGACACTTTTTTTAAAATTTTTATTGGAGTAAGGATAAACCATAAAAAGTTTTCTTCTTTTTTATACATGTAATGTTACTATATTTAAACTGATTGGGAAAACTAAGTTTTAATCTAAGCACAAGATGTGATAGGAATGGTAAGGTTTTTAATAGCACTGTTTTTATTCGTTTGATTATTTTTCAGTTATGTTCCTAAATGTTTTCAGCTAGTAAGTTATAATATTTATTTTTAATGTCGGGAATAATGTATATTTGGTAGAAGTTAATCATGGTTTTTATCTTTAAAAATATATGATTTGATCATATTTGTAAATCTTGAACAGAGATTTTAAAACATGCTCTCAGTTTCCCTGATCCATAAGTCTGAATTTTTTCCTATTTCACAAGATATCTACAAATATTCCAGTTATTGTCTGCAGCTAATCATAAAATGCTCTGAAATTTTTTATTTGGGAGATTATGATAAATATAAAATTTATCAGTAATTTCCACATATCAATGTATTAATATTTGCATCAGTTTGGTTTTTGTAATCGTTATTTTTTTTTAAAAAAAATGTAGGAGAGGTAAATTAAATCCTACTTTCAGTTTTAACAATTCAGAATTAGTATTTTGAAATATATATGTAATGTGTGCAAGAAGAGCAAGTTTTAACATTTGATTGATTTATCTGTGCAAGAAGAAATATTTCCTAACTCGGATTTTTATGTTTTGCGTTGAACTGGGTTCACTCTAAAAAAATTTGATATATACAAATGTTATTCTTGCTCTTCTTAATTCATAATCTTATTTTAGGTTAAAGAATCCAAATATGAATGAAAAAGTTTGTGTAACTTTAATTTTTCTTGTTCTTTTCTCTTTTTTCTGTATTTTTATGCTGTGTAGTTTGAAACTGAGGGGAAGACCCACACTCTGGTCTCACCATTTCATTTGCTCGTGTGAATCACTTGCAGCTCTGAGATTAGCATAAAGCGGTAAAGGTCATATTTAGAATGTTTCTTTTAGTTTATCCTTATGCAGGCTGCTGTGTACTCTTAATAGAATTCTACAGATTTCTAAAACTCGAAATCAGTATCTGTACAAGATATTTCTTTTGCCCAGTAAATGTGGCTTCTAGAAATCAGTTCTGTGTATCGCCCCCATCACTTAAATAAAATCTTTTTAAAAATTATGTGTCAGGAATTTATTTAAAGGGATGAATTTTTTTTATTGGATTTGGTATTTATTAATTTAACTTAGCAGCATGGCTGCGGAACTTTTCATTTTATAATTTAATTGACTTTTTAAAGCTGCAATTAAATTTTCAAGTTTTGGTCAGATATGTTAAAGGCTATCTTCAAAACGTGCCTTTTTTGTTTATACTTTAAAGTATAAGTGTCTAATATAATTGTATCTGCAGATGGCTCACCGATGGCTACATTGCCTACTATGGATATTACACCGGCTGATTCTCAGATGGAACAAACAGGGCCTGTCTTGGCAGGACCGGGTGCCTTGAGGACTCCAACTGGTATTTTGGGTTTGGGTCTCATGAAATTGACATCTGAACAGCAAGAAATGGTAACAAAAGCTAAAAAGTATGCCATGGAACAGAGTATCAAAAATGTTCTTATGAAACAGACCATAGCACATCAGCAACAAGTAAGTAATAAAAAGTAAATGAAGTTTTCGAAATTTGCTTCATAAAAAGAACATTTAAAGAGAAGATGTAATATTTTTATATTGATAGTTTTTAAAATTCACTCCTGTTGGATTTGAATTGAAATGAAATTGATGATCCTCAAAAATAAGCATTGTGTAGTAAGAGGTGCAATCCGGGGATCGTCGTTCAAAAGGAAGTAGGAATAATAATGAATTATTTATTTTGATCTGGGATTTTGTTTCCTTTGAAAGCAGAAAACGCAAGGTCAGTGTTGAGGTGAAAACTTTTCCTTTCTTTCTCCAAAGGCAGTGATAATGCGGGAAAAAGGGGAAAACTTCTTTTGTTTCTTTCCTTATTGCGAGTTGGAAAACTATCAAGAGTACTTAAAACATGTATTTCGATGAGTCACCTATAAAAGTCTCTGAAAAAACTTCTACATAGCAGAAAGCAAAACTGCTTCTACTCTGCATGTGCAGTTCTCGAGGAAATTTCTTCTTCAACTGTTAATGAGGAAAAAAGTCAACCTTCCCTGCAATTATGAAGTTCACCCAAAGAAAGACACCACAAACATCAGAAAATAAAAAAAGCAGCAGAAATTAGATAATTTTTTTTTTAATTAATTTAGGTAATTTAAAATATTACATAATGTTTGAAAATTTATGGTTATTAATTTTGCAAAAAAAGTAATTCATTGAACTTTTATAATTAGGTCATTCAATACTTCATAATTGTAATTTTTCATTTCTCTCCCCCCCCCCTTCTCGAAACTCCAAAATGTCGGTAGTAAGTCCGTAAAAGTTTCAGGGGATTTTTTTGGGGTCCCACAAACACCCCTGGAGGTGGGAATTTCACTTCTTTTTGCACATTACTAAATAGTAACAGATTGTGACTGATACCTTAAATATATAAAAAACAGAAAATTTAACCCCTTCGAGCCGGGTAGTGAAAACGTGCACTTATCGCGGAGGCCGGCAGTGTCTTCCGCCTCGCATCTCTCCAGGGCCGGGGGCTTTTTTGCTAATAAGCCTAAATCCATGAAATTTCCGAATCCCGCATTGCTTATAATGCTCTATAGAGTATTTAAACGGTTGCTTTACAGATATTTTTATTATAAATTTAATTACCTTATCTTGTTTAAATGCATTTTTTACACATTTATTTGAATTACTCACCATTTTATGACTTTAACATTACATCGAAAACTAAATATTTACTTAAAATTCTCTTTCGTATGAAAAATTTTTAAATAGGGACTACACACATCCTACATTACATTCCTTGAACTCGAATAACTCATTTGCCCGTTTTGAGGATTTTCCGGAATGTGACAAAGAGCATCGCCATCTATTTTCTTATCAGTCTCTCTGAACAAGTTTGGAAAATGTCTTTCAGTTAATCTTCAGAATCAATACAGAATTTCAGAATAATATCTGAATATTTTGCATCATTTCTGCTATTTCATGCTCTGTTAAACATTTTCGACGCTTCGCTTGCAACGGTAAAAACAAAAGATTATTTATTTCCCCGTTTGTTTATTATAATCAAAACACGTGTATGTGAGTCCATGCTTCTTCATTTTGAGTAGAAGTCTAATGTACATGTTCTGAAAACCATATGGAATATAGTGCCATCTTGTGGCAGAAATTATAGTTTGAAAAACGTTCCAAGGTACGGCACAAATACGTGACTGTCGGTAGTAAACGCAACAATGCTCTGGCACGCCTGCGTGACGGCCGGTAGATAAGTGTGTTCGTTGCTGGCACGTATACGTGACAGTCGGCGCGAAGGCATTAAAGTATCGTAATGTCCAGAAGAAAGGTTGCTTCAGTACAAATGCTCCACTCAAGGAAAATATCATGAAAAAAAAATTTTAATAGTAATGCCACATTAATGTAAATTCACCAATTAAATCGTGCATTGCATCGCCATGAAAATCACAGTCTCAAAATAAAATACATGACATAAAACTATAACTAAAAATAATTTATGGGTGAGAAATGTTTTAAAATATACTTATGTTAACAAATGTAGTTCCATGTACCCATTCAAGAAATCCGTATATGTATTCTATGCTATATGAAAATATCGGAACAAGGAGATATTAAATTGAATGGCAGAAGAAAATTTTAAACTTTACTTAATAAATTCTGACGTTAAAAATAAATTAATAAATTCTGACGTTTTAAAAACTTTACTAATAAATTCTGACAAAATTAATTTCAGCAAACTGTAGATCCTGTAAAGCCTTCAAAATCTGATTCTTCACTGTCTGAATTAAATAGATCCTTATCAAAATTACGATCTGAGTCTGCCAGATCATCACATTCCTTTTCTTGCTGTACTTTGCAGTCTCTTTTTCTGGGGATATGATATCAGCTTCTTTGAATCCTGATATTATTGACAGTATGTTCACTGATTTTCACACAATTCTTGCTCATTTTGCAACTTCTTCATAAGATTATTTTTGTGTGTTGTGAAGCCACCAAAATTATTGCTAAGTTTATAGACAGATTTTGATGTCTAGTTTTCATTGAATCAAGCATATGAGGATGCGTGCAATCCATTATCAACAATCCTTTTGGTTGAAAAAACGAATCCCTTACAAAATAATGTAAATGAGGCTGACTTCATTTTTAAATGAAATGAAAAAAAAAAAAAAAAAAAAAAGGCAAGGAATATATTCAATAAACAATGTGAATGTAAAAACCTCATCGAAAATGAATAATATAAGAACACGTGGTGAGAATAGAAATGTAACACTGTGTAGAGACATTAGATATTTTTTGGAAGCAGGCAAGATGAAAAATTAGCAACCGCCTTCACCGGGAATCAAACTGCAGACCTCTGGAATACCGGCCCAGTGTGCTGACCACTACACCACGAAGGCATGCTAGGAAGGTGGGAGAAATACCTTATAATGGTGCTAATGTACGATCATATGGTGAGGTATAAAAACATCTAACAAGATTTTGTTGAGATATCTTTGTTGATTGGTGATTCAGTCTCAGAGGCTGCTGTAACAAAGAAGTACCTTTCTCTTGCAAGTGAATTTTTATATTCAAAATTGCCATTTCCATTTTCTTGTTGCTTCTTTAGCCACTTGGCCAAGTTGTCTTTTAGATTTGGGCCATTTTATAGTACCACTTCTTTTGGCTCATTTCTGTTGTGGCATATTTTCAAATTCTTCTTCAGTTCTCTACTGTCAAATGCATTGCTCATCAAATTCAAATTCTCGCTCTGCGGCTCTATTTCCAGTTTATTCTGCTTGGGAAATTACATTAAGCATAAAATGGGATCTAAGTATTAGTGCAACCATCTTAATAGAAGTCTCCAAATTTTTAGAATGATTCAAACTCTAGCAGCCATACACATTACAGTTTTTCAGAAAACCATGTGCATAATATTTTTATTAATTTTGAGAATGAATGTTAAATTCTTTTAAAATATTAAGGTATTTTCCTGCAGTAACAGAAATTTTTGTAAAATTCCCGCAGAAATACAATTTTTATTCAGAAAATTGCTATAAAGAACAGCTGCTTTGATTTTATTTTCAAAGCGATCGCTGTAAAATTTTCCCCAGAAACAGTCTTTTTGTAGGCAAGTTTTATTCATCAATTTGAGGCATAAGTAATTAATTAAAATACATAATAAATTTATTATACTATGTAACGTATGCCATAAATATGTTCTGCAGTTGCAAATAGAACGTCGCGGTGTGCAATGAACTAGAAGTTGATCTGTCAGCACTATCCTCATTTTCAGTGCAGATGTTTTTATTTTATTCGGCTTATAATTCCTTGCTAAATGTAGTATTTCATCTCGATATACTCAGTCTTTGATATGATTTAAATCAATTACCTCGTCATCATAAATATCAGGAATACACATAAAATAGTTTTCGGGTTGCAATTTTCTAATGTCGACTATGCGTAATGTATGCTTTACGCATGTGCATGTTGAAAGAAATGTTTAATAAAGTAAACAAATAAATATTAAGCTTCCCGGCGAGTCCGGATTACGGACTTTGTACTGTATACTGTATTAGCCAAAGAGCACAAACCAAGATCAAGGCTGTTATTTAGTTCATATTAACAAAGCTTTTTGCTTTTTTGTATGCTCCATTTTGCCATTATTAAATATTCTTAAAGCAATTTCACAGTTAACAATTACATTAATTCATATTTTGCAATCAATGATGAGTGATCTGGTTAAAGTAATATTTAATGAATAGGGAAACTGATTAGAGTATTTTTTCTATTATTAGAGGGTAGAAGTAATTTTTTTAAACATGTATTTTTACGCTTAAGAAAAAATAACTCAACAGATATTAACTAGTTACTATTTAAAGTTAATTCATTATTAAAAAATATATTTTCTTTCTACATATTTTTATTATTTAAAGAATCTTTTTGTTGTTGAGAAAATTCTCTACAAAAGGTAGCAAGTATCAGTACACCAATTTATTTATTGTTGAGCAAGGAGATTTATGTATGTCTGTTTGTTTACTATTGGACGAAAAGATCCAATAATGATTAAGTGGTAATAAAAGCAATTCAATCTTTACGAAAACACAATAATTGAATGGCAGCAGAGATCTTCCACAGTACTGGATATTTGTTGGATTATCCTGAGAAACAAAGCTTTGTTGTTTTATGTTTTATTATAAAACAACAAATCTTGCTGATGCATAAAGTATTGAAAGACTATGTTGCTTCTCTAAGTGACGGAATAAAAATCAACGAGTCATGGTTCAACCATCATCATGAGTGAGTTTATATGGTCAGAATATTCGGGATGAGAAAATACTTCTGATTCCATATTAAAAACCACTGCAAGAACGGTGTAGCCAAAAATATTTGAAAAAAAAAAACCTGAACTTGCCTTTAAAAAAAATGTTCTGTAATAGTTAGAAAGTGCTTTGATTTTATTTCTTTTACAACGTTTAGTCTTTAAATATATGTATATCATTTTTTCAAATTGTTTAAAGAATTTTTTTTTCCAGCAACAGAAAACCCTACAGCGGCATCAAGCTTTGGTCCTTATGTGCCGGTAAGATGATTTCAGTATATATAAAATACTGATTATAAGAGGAATGTATCTCAATTTGTATTTATCAGTAATGGAAGGTGTTCGGCTGAAACTTCAATTAAGTTTTAGTGAAAGATAATGTATCCGTATTTGTCTTCCCTCCAAATTGTACATCTGTCATTCAGCCTATAGATATCGGAAAAGTGCGCGCGGTGAAATGCAAATATAAAGTAGCATTTTTAAAATCTGCTGTGTGGAGCATCGCAAAATAGTGGGAAGCTGTGTCTCCAGATACTTTAAAAAAATGCTTGGCATAATTTATGGCTAGCTACCAGATTTCATGATGAAGATGAAAGTCTCGAATTTGGAGGATTTTGGATATTGCAAAGCAAAGGTGAAATTTTCCATTTAATGGATTTTGTAAAGAAATGTGGAAAAGCAGTAAGAAATGAAGATGATATAACAGAAGTTTTTCATTGCGATGGCGAAGCCCCGATCATCAGTCAATTAATGGACAGCAAAATCTGTAGTATGGTTCTAGATCCAGAAAATACCGCTATGGATAGTGAAGTGACAGAGACGTTATTGAAAATGAGAAAATTTCCATTGACAAGTTAGTCGAAATTCTGGACACGGCAATTACTGGACTTGAAGAGTGGAAATTTGTAACTGAACAAGAAATTATGCCCGTTTATAGAATTAAAAAGAGAGTATTAGCTTAAAAGTCGAAGCAACTTAAACAACTTACATTGAAAGAAATGTTAGTAAACATATATTAAGCTTCTCTCTCTCTCTCTCTCTCTCTTTTTTTTTTTTTTTTTTTTGTGTGTGTGGTTGTTAATTTTGATACCTTTTAGATCATGAATGCTCTTTATTTCATACATCATGATTTCATATTTTTAATTGTATAATTTTTGCATGCCATCTTACTAGATTTAAGTTGATGTTCTAATATCCGGAAAAGTCCCACAACAAATCTGGATCTCGGACTTGTCTTAGGACTTTTCCTGATACTGTATGTCAATCTAGACTGCATCATTTAATTAATCTGCAACGCAGATACTTTTTAGCCAGTCAGTGCTTTTTTAAATCTCTCTCATATTTTCTTCTGAATGCATCAAAGCAACGTGTCATTTCTCCCTTCTGTATATCATCCATTATGTTAAGCTTCCAAAATTGTGACTACAGCACCCATTTCATATGTGTTGGATTAATGAAAAATGTGTGGCAAGCATAAATGAAAGGGAAATAATTGGATTCGCCCATGTCTGCAAATTTCCTCATCATTATACATCACCTCAATGCTATGACTCCAAAATCTCCCAAGTTATTGTGTATACACACTTAGTGCAGTAGTGCTTTCCAATAAGGGACAGCCACTAAACCAGAGAAAATAGAGGTGACCCTTCTTCAGAGGTGCATACTAAAAATATATAATTTAATTAGAAATTCGGGTTATATCAAGCTTTAAATAAATGAGATATAAATAACATAATTACAGGTATTTATTTGAAGTTAATGAAAAATTCTTAATTAAAAACAATTATTGCAAAAATACATGTGTTCCTGTTCTTGGCAGGTGGCCTAGTCATCTCACCACATTCTCTTTTTCATTGGTCCTTTCTTAAATTGCCCTTATAACTCACTGTAAGGTAATCCAAGGTATCCCCCCCCCATGAATTCTGTGAATGTGAAATAACCTTTCGATTGCATCACGATTTCCTTTTCGTAATGTAACATATTGTTCAATAAATCCGGAGACTAACTATAAAAAAAATATTTCGCATGTATTCATCATCATAATCACCATCAAGAGCTATGCTTGTAAAACAATTTGTCCTTGTCTGCAAATTAAACTTTAGTGGCAGCGATAACTTCCTCATTCGAGCTGAATCTTTTTCCCTGAAGCATCTTTTTGAGATTAGCAAACAGCCAGTAGTCGCTGGGGGCTAGACATGGTGAGTGGGGAAGCAGAGTGGAGGCCCAATTCGTTCAATGTAACCGATGTTTGCATTGATTTGTGTCACAAGGCATTGTCTTGGTGGAAGATGATTTTTTTTCCCTAGAATTTCGTCGTTCAGACGCACAAATAATTCACTGTAATAGGCTGTATTGATAGATTTTCCCTTTTCAAGGTAGTCAATGTAAATTATACCTCGCATCCCAAAACACTAACGCCATGACTTTGCCAGCTGACTTTTGCGTTTATGGACGCTTTGGATGACTTTCACCAGCTGCACGCCACTCAGCTGACTGCCGCTTCGACTCCGGGGTGAAATAGTGGATCCATGTTTCATCCATTGTCACATGCCGACACAAGAAATCCTGTTTTTTGCGAGTAAACAGTGACAAACTTTATGAATCGTCGACTCGTTGTTGCTTTTGTTCCAGCGTGAGTACGCGCGGCACCCCACTTTTTTCATGTAAACTCGTACTCGCACATCCAGTTGATATGTTTACCATCTTGGCATAGTCATGATCTTTCACTTTGCCGTCATTCATCATGATTTTCAACTCTTGTTGCACATTTTCCGGAATGACTGCTTCATTTGGTCTCCGAGCGTGTCGCGTCATTTGTATCCATGTGACCATGCTTGAAATCAGCATATCAATGGCAAATCACTGTTTTCGATGGCGCAGAGACTGGATAACATTTTTCAAGCTATTGCTGAGCTTGCACGTATTTTTGCCCATTAAATAGCAATGTTTAATCAACACTAGAAATTCGTTTTTCTCCATTTTGTCCGCAAGTAGTGTCACTTTCACCACAGTAGCTTCGCTGTTTCCGGTCGGAATGCCATGAAAATAAGATACATGTTATTTGAAGGTTAGTTCTTTCGAACAACGAAGTCAAGTTGATATTACTAATGCATTTTGTCGGTTAGTCCTGGGACTTATTCAACGATGTGTTATTGCTCCCTTTTTTGTGTTAAACACATCTCTCTAATGTTCTATGAACAAGCCATGAAAACTATTATGTTTTTTTCTCTTGCATATAAATTTGTCAAGGTTGTTTATCTTCTAATTTTTAAATTTGATAGAAGATATTAATATTTTTGTGATGGCATAGCATTCATAATTAGAAACTACCTTTATGTTCTTCATTAACTATTAAAACACGTTGAATTTTTTTATAAATAATTTGATCTCATTGACTATTATTATTTTTTTTTTTTTAGAGTTTATGTTGGTAGTATAAGTTTTGAATTAAAAGAAGATACAATACGACAAGCTTTCATTCCTTTTGGACCTATTAAGTCCATTAATATGAGTTGGGATCCAGTTACGCAGAAGCACAAAGGATTTGCATTTGTAGAATATGAACTTCCTGAAGCTGCGCAATTGGCACTCGATCAGATGAATGGAGTTATGATAGGTGGAAGGAATATTAAGGTATGTAATTTATTATCAGTATCAATATTTATTTCATCTGTGGGGGAGGGGAAGAGTGGTGGGATGTATTGTAATGAAGAATTTGAGTTTGATATTTAACTTTTGAAGCTTTTAATACTTATATTATTTCTGCAGTTTAATTAAAGTCTATGCTGCTTGTTCCCAAAAAGAATCCCCCTTTTTTTTAAATGCTTATTATCATGTCATTGTAGAATTATTTGCAACAGCTGTGTAATTTAAAATTATTTTTAAAAATGATGTACAATTCTCCTTTTTTAATAATGTATCATAATCATTTAATAACATTTCTGACTTCAGATTGTAACGTAATTTTTTACTATTTTATCCCATCTCAACGAAAACCAGTCTGTTGCAAAAATAAATATTCTCTCATTCTTATAAAGCTAATTTAAATTTTAGATATGAAAATTTAATTTTATTTAAATAAAAGATTAATTATTGCTGCGAACTAATTTGCAATATTTAAATTCAGAGAGCATATATAAATTAAGTGCAAGTATCTAAAACCATAAAAAAAATATTTAATTTAAAATTTTAAAGCATTTTTAAGATTAAATTAATTTTTGAGCAAACAGGAGACATCTTTTCAAGGGGAAGTTGCCTCCAAATCTAACTCTTCAATTACTCAGTTTGTGTTTCGTTATCCATATGGGCTTGGGTAAAGTATGAATCAAACATAGTGAATTGCTTAAAAAAGAAATTTTAACTATTAAAGAATTTTGAGAAATTTATTAAGTAAAAATGGACTAGGAAACAAAATTATTAATTAAAAGTACATTGCTAATGTAATTAAGAGTGATCCAAAGTAATTTAAAAACCCTTGCCTATTGAAATATCCCCAACATGAATTATGCTTGTAAATCAAAATAAACTAAATGCTATCTAAAAAAATAATACTAAAAAGTCAAGTAAATAGTAAGTTTTGATTTAACTTACCCTGTAGCTACGTATTTTGTACGCTGGAGAGAGGAGTAGCATTTGCTTATCAAAGTGAGGTTGAGTAGTTTGTTTTCTGCTGTGTAAATAGAGGATGCTAATACTATGTTAAGTTGAATGTTAGCTGCTTCCTGTGGGATCTATTGTAAAAGCCTGTGCTGTAAACTCTGAAGTAATGTAAAATTCTTATTCTGTGTGAAAAAATGTTGCTGTTGAACATTAAGATGCCGAGGTTCGAAAACAAATATTTATTACAGAGCAGTACACAGACATACATGCAGATTTACAAGCAGACAGTGAAAACGTTTACAGAGGTTATGTATAACTTTATAACAGATGATCGTTTAACAAATCATAAACAAGTTAATAAATTACCAATCAAAAAATGACAAAGCATGGGATTAAGTTTCAGAATAATTTGGACGTGACAGAAAGCTATACTTCTATTAACCAATAAGAATATGATTACAAATATCTCAACACTCCCCTTTAATCACACATTATAGAAAAGGTAGAAGACTTGCACAATTTTTAAACAGCTCAATGATAACAGTTCATAGAATTTTGTTTTGGACAGACCCTTAGTTAACATATCTGCGATTTGTAAACTTGATTGTACATACTCAATTTTAATATTATTTTCTTTAACAGTCTTATGAGTAAACTTTAATTTTATATCTATATGTTTCAACTACCTGAAGGTTTCATTAACATACTTTAATGCCATGACTAGTTATCTTCAAAAATAAACATTTTTAACACTCGAAATTTCATTTACTACATTTTTTATCCATAAAATATCTTGAATACCTTTGCATAAAGCAATTATTTCAGCTTCTGTTGATGAAAGTGCAATACACTTTTACTTGTTACAGCACCACATAAAGGACAGTTTGAAAACGTTATAAAGTTATAAAGTAACCAGTAATTGATTTCCTATCTTTAGTATCCTTCCCAATCTGTATCTACATACATACATAAGTTTGCCCTTTCCAAATCACCCTTTTTGTATATCAATTTTAAATTTAAGGTGTTTTTCAACTACCTAAGAATTCTCTTTAAAGCACACCAGGTAACATCAGTAGGATGCTCCTGCAGTTTGCTTAAGCAATTTACTACAAGTAAAATATCTGGCCTTGTAATATATGCCAAGTAAAGCAAAGATCCAATTAATTCTTTGTATGGGCCATGAAATGCATTTCTTTTCTGAAAATCAGCTGCTGTAGATTTTGGTTCAATGGGAGTTTGGGCTGTTTTACAGTCAGACATTTTGAATTTATCAAGTAATATTTCAATTGTTTTCTGATCTAAATATAAACAATCAGACTCAAACTTCAGTCTAATGCCTAAAAATTCTGAGACACATTCAGATTTTGACATTTGAAATTTAGATAACGATATTATAATATTTGTTTCTTTTATATCCGAACCTGCAATTAATAAGTCATCAAACATAAAGAGCCATAATTACTTTCTTACAATTTAGATTTCTGATGAAAATACATGGTTCAGAGTCCAATTGCTTAAAATCTAATTTAATAAGAAATACTGATACCATTGTTGAGGAGACTGTTTAAGACCATATAAACTCTTTTTAAGTTTACATTTCTTACCACTCATATCATCATATCCTTTTGGCTAGTCCATGTAGATGGTTTCATCTAACTTACCATTCAAGAAAGCTGTCTTGACATCTAAAGTAAAAGTTTGCAAACCTTCATTATTGATAATTACCAGGATTAAACATAAAGAGCACATACTAATTACTAGAGAAAACGTGTCTGTATAGTCTATGCCTTCCTTTTGTATAAAGCCACGAGCAACAAGCCTGGTTTTGTAAGTTCCATCTCATTTTTTACGTAGAATCCATTTCCAGGAAATATCTTTTATCTAGGGGTAAACTTTGTAGATTCCAGACTTTGTTATCTTCCATAGATTTCATTTCCTTGTCCATAGCTCTTTTCGATAGCTCTTGTTCTACTTGTGGTAGATTTACAATATCGTCAAATGTCAGAGTGTCTTGTGCAAACATTACTAGGTAAATCTAATGATTAGGATACCTAACGGGTTGTTTCTTTTCTCTTGTAGATTTTGTTTGTTCCTCCTTTTTTTTTAACATTCGCTGTTATCAATGTCTGAAATTGATTTGTCTTCATTTTTAAAGTCATCATTTTCATTCAAATCGGAACTATCGGGAAGATATTTTTGATTTTCTACTTTCTTCTTTTCTTCATTAAATTTAACATTTCTGGAAACAATGACACGACTTGTTTCTGGAATCATTAAATGATATCTCATTGTGGAATAACCTGCAAATATCATTCTGACAGATTTTGCATCTAGTTTCTTTCTTTGAGATGGTGACATAAGAGTAGCCAAATACACGCATGTTTGTTAAATCAGGATTTTCACCATACATACTTCAGAGAATAAGGAAAACGATTGTCAATCAAACTGTTTGGGAGTCGATTATTTATAAAAGCAGCCGTAAGTACTGCTTCACCCCAAAGAAATTTTGGTAAATTTGCTTCAAGTATCATTGCTCTGGCTTTTTCCAGTACAGTTCTATTTGCTCATTCAGCAACACCATTTAGAAAAGGTTTTTATAAACTAATACTTCTATTAACCAATAAGAATGCGATTACAAATATCTCAACAGTTGCTAACTGTTAAGGATTGTAAAAATATAAGTTCATAAAAAATTTTTTTAAATAAAGTTCGAAAGAAACTTTTTTTAAAAAAAGTAAATTTTGGTGTATTAAAAATTCTAATAAACATTTTAATTAAATTTAGCTAAAAAATTTTAATGTTTGAAAAAATTAAATTCACAAATTGAAAGAAATGAAATACCTTACCCATGCCTTTATGGATGATGAAACATGAATTAAGTAATTGAAGAGTTAGGTTTGGAGGCAACATTCCCTTGAAAAGATCTGTCTCCTGACTGTTCAACAATTATTCACTTTATGTAAATTAATTTAGTTTTAAAAATTCTTTAAATTTTAAGGATTCAGTTTTTGGATTATTAAATACTTTTTCATGGTTTTAGATACTTGCACTTAGTTACACATACTCTCAGAACTTGAATGTTATTACAAATTAGTTTGCAGCAATAGTTAATCTTTTATTTGTATACAATTAAATTTTTGTATTTAAATTAGTTTTATACGAATGAGAATATTTGTTAAATTCAAATTTCATTCCTTATAGCAATGACACAAGAGAATTATTTAAATTTAACTTTACTCTTTGTTCTATATATATATATATTCTCTTAAAATTTCGTCCTCAGTTTTCAAAACGTGCAAAAGATCTGGCAACTGTGCTTATAACAGTTTTCTGGCTAAACAACTTTGCCATTTCTATATGTATATGCATTCCTCTTATATTCTAGGTTCAAATGATTTTCATTGACAAATCGTAATATTTTTGTAACTCAATTTTAAAATAAGTTTTTGTGGAATTTGCCAGCAATGGAGAAAACTTGCTTTTGTGTAAGAATATAGTATTGTGCCACAGAATCTCTCTAGTGAATGATGATAGACATTTGGTAGATATCTGATGCTTACTGCCAAGTGCTTGCATTTCTCTGATTTTTTTTAAAGCAAAAATAGATTGATGTGTGCCTGGAGAGAAGAAATAAACAACTATGGAAGGATTTTGCACTCAACCATTTTCTACTTATTCTTTTCTTGTAAGTGTTTCATTTGCTGACAGTATAATATAGCCACCATGAAGGCTGACATTTTGTTGAGAGTTAGTTTATCCTCTTTGTTGTTGAGAGAGCGAGTTTAGTTAAGCAAGTTTGTATATCTATTATGTCATATGAATTCTGGTTTTGTAAGTAATCTTTCAGGTGCTTTCAGAACAATCTGCAATCTTCTTTTGACATGCATCCATTGCAGTTTAATTGTACTGATATTTTAAAAAAATTCATGTCTCCTCTTAACAGATTTGTATGTTTGTTGACCTTTTTCTTCTTTGAGATTTCATAAGCTGTTTTCAAAATTTTAGTAAAGATATCTTTGAGATAGCCTGTTTTC